AAAAGTCATAACATCCACCTGGCCAGCCCTGGGGAAAAAACTGTGAGCGATCGATAGAAAAAATACATTTGTACCTGAGTGTAAGAGAAAACTTAACTCTGTCACATTGGTCATCTGTTTTTGAATCACCTTATGAGACACTAACTGCATTGTTTTTCTTGGACTGTGATTCCAGAGTACCAATCATTCAGTTTGGGAAGCAGCAATGATTCCTACCTGCATGAATGGTAACACCATGAGTCATGGATTAGCTGGTTGTCTTTTGGTCTTTACCCAAAGCTGAAGTTAAGCACATTGATTTACTAATAAACTTACTGCCACACCAGCCTATCTGCCACCTGCATCACTCTGCTCCTACTGATGAACAAGAGATAGTTCAATGAATGAAATACAGGGATTTGGTAGCTGTTTCGTAGTCCAATGTTTTAGGGAACATTGCAGACAGTCCTACAATGTTCCCTAAAATGCACTGTGCTATAAGGAGGGAAGTTCAGTGTAAGTGGGGTCAAAAACAACTGCACAGTGATTTTTCTAGGTGTGGCCAAGCGCTCCCAATGCTGGGTAACTGTAAGCTGCATCAGTTAGTGTCTGGCACCGAGCAAGGATGACAATCTCTTCATCCAGTACAAACAGCTTTTCGATGGACTAAACCCAAGTGCTCAGGGCCACTTCGCCCAATGATTTATAACACGGCTGGCGTAAAAATAAAGACCCCACACTCTCCACCCTCAGTTTTCTCTCAGCTTCCCCCTTCTACCTGCTGGAGAGCAATTAAACCAAACCTGCACCTCTACACCTCAGCCAACATCCACATAAAAAACCCACATTGTGTTCTGTGTGTTGGAAGCGACTCCGGACACTGAAACAACACAAACTGTCGAGCGTTCAGTACTGTGTCCTGTGGCTTCAGCCAGCACTGGAGAGTTATTTCCATGCGCGCACACACACATCGCGCACACATGCCCTCGTACTGTATACAGCTGAGATGTCGGTGATTTACCGCTTAGCTCCGATAAACTGCTAAAATACTCAGCGTGCTTTTCATCACAAATCAGTATCTGTGCAGATCATCATAAAATCGTCTCATAAAAGTGGGTGCAGCACATGCAGCTGAAGGCCAGCGCTGCGTGTGTTTTTATGTGTGCTGGTGTGGTGAGCGGTTATTACATCCCGGCCTCGGCCTGCTCGTCCCAGGCTCGGCGGGGATCGGACAACTGCTTGGAACAAAACGTTTACTCATTTGTCAAATGCAACGAAGACCGGTGGAGGCTAGGTGGCGTCTCTCAGCATATGTGTGTGGATGCAGAGGGCTGAGGAGCATCTGCGTGTGTGTCTGTATGAATATTTCAGCAGAGAGGAATGCCCTTCGTTCAGCCCGTGTGATAATTAATGGCTGTCAGCGTCTCTTTAGCGGAAGAAGGCGCTGACAGACAGCACTCCAGAAACTCAGGGAATGTGTGAACGCCTCACAGGGGTGGATGAGGGTGAATAAGGGATCCACGGGTGAGGGGTGGTGGGGGCTGCTGCGTAACATCCATCCCAACTGTCTGTGGCAGATGATCCAGGTCATGAAACTTGGGAGATTACCCTCATTTGCTGTCATTTGAGGAATTTTGGGACATCTGTGCAAGCTATATGAAAACAATACCGATCACTCAACACCATCTGACATCAGCACACGGCTGGATCCTGCGTGAGTGTGCGTGTGATGGAAGGCGAGTGATTCATTTGATAGGAAATAAAAGATCACATTCGAGAATAGCAACGTTCAAACTATGTTTTAATCATCTTTAAAATATGGCACTGGCTAGATGAAGTTTTGAAGGACATGGGTGATCTGTCATCCAGGTGACGATAGTCAAAGGAGCTTGAAAAGAAAGAGACCGGATTTCTGTAAGTTTCATGACGACATCTCACCTGCCATCCAAGAAACTTCTACAATCAAATGGTGGAGTTTCATGTATTTAAACCCTTAAGAGGGAAGTTGACCCACTATGTCTCTCTCTGTGTTTATACACCACTCTGCAATTATTAGTTATTATTAATCTCTGTCTCTCTTCCACAGTGTGTCTTTTATCATGTCTTCCTCCCCCCACCCACAGTTTTTCTTTCCCACTGTTGCCAAGTGCTTTCTCATAAGAGGTCGTCCGATTGCTGGAGTTTAGGTCTTTACAATATAAATAATACCTTTAATAATAATAATAATACCATGAATCCGGATGCTCCATCTGCCTGTAACTTTGCTGCAGGAATACATGAATTTCCCCAATGAGGGTTGTATCCTTCTAAATCACTTTGAGGTGACTGTTATTGAGATTTGGTGCTATATGAGCAAAAGCACGGCTGTTTTCCTTTAGATTTTTATATAATCTGAATTATTCAGATGTTGCCCTCTACTGGCCATTAAAATGAATGGAAGTTTAATGGATGGATAGCTGTAGCTGGGAGCTACAGCTATCTTTTTATATAGTCTATGGATAATTCTAATGCACACAAGCAAGGTAACGTCACAAGGTGTTAGTCACTGTAGTTTAATGGGGATGCTTGGTTTGTAGAAAAGAAACAAAAAAGGCTCCAATTAATATGCTATCTTACAAAAGGAAAAAATCCTACCTAGTCAAGTTGGTTTGTTGATCTCTCTTTGAGGCTGAACCTCTGGATCGAGTCACTAGAGTAACAGTGCACTTTCATTTTGAAAAGAATGAAAATCTGGCTAGACAGTTTAACTATGATCAGTATTTTAATTACAGGCCAAGTATTACAGAATAGCTTAATCAAAGTTGTCATGCTGGGAATCCTCCAAATATACAAGGGGCTATACTTTACTACCATGTAAGGTAAGACTTATGTAATGAGATGAATACTGTATGTAATGGAGACAACTTACATTTCCCCCTTCAATTTAAGAGCATCACCAATGATACATAGTAAAAAAAAAAACGGGCCATGAGTCCATGAGTAGGAAAATGGTTTCGTCTCTCATCAGGATAACATGGTAACGTGCTAAGCGAAGTAGTTTTCAGCAGGTAAACACACACCTTCCCAACGTACGGACCTCTAAACTTAAATATTCTGACAATGCAATCCTGAAAATCTGTTCAAACCTGTCAACATAATTAATATTTTTTGTAATGATGCTTTAGGTTTTTGTAATGGGAAAAAACCCCAAAACATTTCAGTGAACTTTTGTGGGCGTTTTGCAACATTTTCATTTATCAGCTTCGAATGAAGGATATAGACGATGGAGATGTGATTAGACAGCTCCACCTGCTGGCTGGAAAAACAAAGAACAGCAAGTGCAAAGTGGTAAAGGCAATTAAGGTATAAGTTTAATATTTTTGAAAAGAATGCATATACAAAGAACAAAGACTTTAGACAAAGCATTTGGTTTTGCACCAAAACAACAACAGGTTATAATAATAATTTTACTGACTTGGGCTGGACGTCGACCCAACTCTAAGCCACCAGTAAAGAAAAACAAGAACCAACCAATCACAAATAATCATTACCAAACAGTCTCGCTGCCATTGGAGGTTTTTATTCAGCTAAACCAATCAGAGGTTTACTTGGTATAAACTGGCGGGTGAGAGTTCAGATGAGTTCCGACCCCTAAAATGTAAAAGGAGTGAAAGTAACCTTTTTTATTCTAATATATATATATATATATATATATATATATATATATATATATATATATATATATATATATATATATATATATATATATATATGAATGAAATAATAATAAAAAAAAACAAACAAAAAAAAACAACAACAACACACAAACAGAAATGATAAAGAAAAACAGATTTTGGTAAAAACACCTGGAGCCTACATGAACATTGTGTGCCAGCTTACATTATAATTACATCTGTTAAACCTATCATTTAGAACAGAGACCAAGGCCGAGCTACATGCAGCGCCGTACAGTGTGAACAGGTACAACAGGCCTCACACCTCTGCCTGGATATGACGCACTACAGGAAGGCACCAAATTCTGACCTGGCACAGAAATCTGGTGAAAATTCACATTTGCTCATCTGTTGTCTGGCCAATAAGCATTCGTCATTTAACACAGTTGTCTCTGCTATGCCCGTTCTCAGTGTACGGTGATGACAATGTGAAAACAGTATTCTACTTGGTCCCTGGCAACGCATGAAGAACAACCGCTTGTTCTGCTAACACTGTTTAAGTTCCCTCCATCTAAAAGGCAAATTCCTGTGGTCGACTATGAGACCCATTACTAATGAATGCCTTTAGCTTTTCAAGTGATTTCCACACTCTTAAAAAGACTGCTACTCTGTACTGTGGAGGTAAGGCTTGATGGAGCCTTGACTGAATTACCGAGCTGTGTCAAACCCCCACGGTGTCCTAGTGGTTAAGAGCGCGTCTACTTGGAACATCGAGTAAATATCTCAGACTGTTTGAGGGATAAAGGAGGTGTTGGCAAACAAAATCAACAACACTACTCTGTTAGCATCTCTTGTGGTAGTGCTGAGTGAGAACATAGAGGGGGGCTGAGCAATGAGTGTGCTCGTCAACTGAGGCGACGGGAACAGCAGCATGAGCAGCTGCTAATTAAGCAGCTGGGAGGGGCTGGGGCTGGGCTTATGTCCACGAAACCTTTACATTGGCTGAAGACGACTACACGGCTGGACAGCTAGAACTCGATTAGGCCACAACACTGACTGAACTAATGAAATCAGCTATCCAAAGCTCGACAGAGGGATTTCTACTTGTGAGTATGCTTGGTATCTGGATCCCTGTCTGAGCCCTCACTGGGTTCTTGGCCATGTAACGTTCATGTTTTATCCCGAACTCAGACGCAGGGGTGAAGCTTGGTTGTTATTATTGCAGAGAATTATCTGAAACTTGGTAGGCTGTTTTCTTCCTAGTCTTCCACAAGGAAAACAATGCTGTCAAGCAGCCTTAGCAGAGCAAGGGAGGGGGGTTTGGGAGAGGCAGGGATGTATGTATTTAAAGACGTGTGTATTTCTGTGTGTGTGTGTGTATGCGTGAGTGAAGGGGGTGTGTGCTTTGGAAAGGTAGGAGCCTCTCATAGCAGCACACATTTGCGTTTCTTCTTGGGCTCTGGGGGCTCCAATGCAGCCAATATCGCCTCATCAAACACATTCTTTAGTCCTTTCTGTGAACAAAAACATACAAACAGAATGAGGGAGCAGCGCAAACACACACACACACAGATTTAAAAGGAACAAAAAAAAGATCTTGCAACAAAAGGCAGAAATGGCTTCAACTGGGGGGGGACAGTGAAAAAGCAAAACACACTGAAGGTAATTCAGAGGGGTTTCATAAGAAAGAGGGGAAGCTGGTGGGAATGCAAAGAAAAAGATAAAACAACAACAAAATTTCCAAGTAGGATCTGCAATGAACAAGTCAGGAGACTGTCATGTAGTGTTTCCCACAGAATCAGACAAATGACACAGGAGGTGCACCCGTGCTTTTTAAAATAATAGCACACATTCTCTGTGACAATAATACGCAAATATTGCTGCCTCTACATTAAACTCCTTAAAGCACATCTTTTAAGTAGAATAAAGTCTACTTTGACCAGCTGCAGTCCAGCATAGTTTAGTTGGAGTTTATCTGACTGCGGAACCAAACAATTGCATTACAGAATTTATATTATTAGTCTACATGCTTAGCAGTGACTAAATCGATCACACTGTAAATAAAAAAATAATTACACACTATACTTAGTTAGCCATCAGCATCCCTGGAGTACCCTCCCAAGTAAAGTCTGTGTGTGGGAAACGATGTCTTGTGGTGTTTTCAGTGGTGTAAGCCAGATCAGGGATTAAGTGTCAACAACACAAATCACATGCATGTCTGCATAGTGCAGCTGACCTGAGACAGCCGAAATCAAAGGCAAGTCAAACAAGCAAGTGGAGGAAAAACAGGACATAACCCTTGACATTACAACGGCAAACAAGAACTTTTTCTTGACTTCACTGGTTCATATTCCAAACACATGACCACAATCAAGCACTTGCCGAGTGCAAGAGGGGAACCTTTGTATTAACCCGAGCAGAACTGCTTACGTCATGAGCTCAGTCATGTGAGGTAACCAGAGCTGCACTGCGTTGCCTATCTCAGCTGACCAAACTACTAAATTCTTCTGACACGGCACTGAAAAAAGACGGAAGCCAGATGAGCGCAAGTTAAGTTGTCCTTTATTAATTCAGTTCACAAGTCATTTCACACAATTATAGCTTTTATTATTATATAGACTTCTAATACAACAATCTGTACCACAGGTAATGGCACACTGATGTTATATGTAGAGAAAGCGAAATAAGTCACTAAACACGGCTTGCAAGTATCATCAAGTGTGGCTTAGCTATAAAATAGATCAATGAGAGTACCATGACACCAGCACATAGCAATGTCTGCTGAGGTCAGACACTCCCATAGGTGACTTGAGCAGTTAAAAGCCCTGCGTGAGAAACCACAGTCACACTTCAGATTCTGATAAATTAAACATAACTGTAGAAGTATAAAAATACTTTAGCATTAGAAATGGAAGCTCTGTTGAGTGTAAGCTCAATCTCAGCCTGTAAAGCCACCACCTTCACACGACTACTACTCGCACAGAGCAGAGAGAAGAGTCGAGGACCATCCCAAACAAAGGATGTATCCTTCTAGACACTAGCCACCTATTGTTAGACACAGGTCTTGTTAATAAGCTAAACTCAAGACGTTTTCACACACAAACCTTTCAGACGGTGTCACAATGAACCAGCTTTACCGACCCGGCTGTTTCAACACAGTGTGTGAATGACTGTCAATGTACACAGCTGCTGCTCTTGCTGTGCTATTTATTCACATTTTATTATTGTATGATTTTAATATTGGTGTTAGGCTTATTTCTGCTTTCTCTTTAATTTGAAATTACAAACAAACAATGTGGAAAGTAAAACAGATGACCTGTAGCACTCTGACATAGAGAGTGGAAAGTTGTCTGCAGACTGTGTCAACAGCCTACAGACAGCAGTGAGTAAACAGCACTGCACAGATGTGTGAGTTCTTAGTTTGTATTTTCTAGCTAGTTTTGCTCTATTCTTTTTCCATTTGTATTTTAAAAAGGAAAGAAGACTGCTGGTGCTACTACATTCAGCACCCTAACATTATGTGTCTGGAGCACTATAAACTACAGAAAGTGGCACGTTTAAAAAAATGTGGTCACTGACTGCGATCAATTTTCAGTGGCTCTTAAATACACACACAATAATGTTTAATCTCATCTTTTAGAATGAGTTCAATTCAGAGGCGTGGTGGCGTTTAAGTCCATGTTAGAATGAAGGAGGTATCTGTGTGCAGAATTTATCCTTCCAGAAAGGACAACTGTGTTTGACTGTCCAGAGTTCATGTGTGAAAACAGTTTAAGACACAGAGTGGTCCAAGAATTAGGATGTGAAATGATGCAGGTGGTCACACTAATCCAGAAGAAAAATATGAAGATATGATGCCGAGTAAACCTAATTAGAAAAGGCAACAAGTATTTTTAAGTGCAGAAAGGCCTCTGGTTAGTTTAACAAGCCACAGAACAAAGATGAGAAACGCAATCTTGATGCAGAGTAGAGCAGCAGTGTGAGTATCAAACTGGTGGATCTGTTAATAGATGGCTGAGATTGAGACAGATGAGAGTTTTAAGCAGCAAATGCAGAGAGAGAGAGAGAGAGAAAATGGGAAGGAGGAGAGAAGTGGAGCAAGGGAACGAAAAACGGATAAACAGCAATGACAGGAAGAAGACATGAGCGATGTGGCACAGAAAGTTTAAAATAAACAACATTTCCTCTTTCTTTGCGTCTCAGGCGGCTCTAGGGCAGCTAGGATAGCTTCGTCAAAAACATTCTTCAGCCCTCGCTATGACGACAGGAAGAGAGGGAAGAGAACAAGAGTGCAATTAGCAGAGCAAACACAGAGAGAGAGACCAAAGAAGAGGAGGAGAAGAAGAGGAACATGGCAGAGTGAGGAGGAAGGTTTCATAGCATAAAGACCAGGAGTGCCGTGCAGCCGTGTCAACACTGAATGAAGACAAGGAAGTTGTTTAACAGGGGGCTGAAAGTGAGCTGGGGACCTGGGTGTTGAGATCCCCAACAGGAAACAGGAAATGACATCAGCAGCTATGCAACTTTTGTGCCAGTGAGATAGGGGGGAGTACAGGAAGGAAGGAGCAGAGCAGGGAGGTGGGGGCACCCCAGCTTTATCAACACTATTGTTCAGAATCAGAGATCCAAGTCACCTGCTCTCCTCCGAGTCATGCTTACTGTGCTTCAGTTTCTAACAGTTATGCATCAACGCCAACACAAACAAACTCGGGACATAACTGAGCAGGTAAAGCCTTTAAAGGCACTGACTGATTTAGTCAACACAAGCACTCAATAATACAACATTAAATCTACCACAGAGAAGTCAAGCGCTCCTAAATTTGACACGAAGCCCACTGTCTACCTTTGGTCCTCTTTAGAAACAGTGCAAAAAAACCAAACAAACAAACAACTAACTAGCAGCAGGTTTGCCTTCATAAACTAGAAACATTTTACTTTGCCATTTAGTCAAAATGCTGACACAATAATGTGTTTGTGCCTGTTCTATTACTGCAAACACCATCAGCTGATCCCAGGAGCGATTGCTGGTCCATGATGTGGTGTAAAGCCCACAGGCTTTAACAAGCACATATACTGGAGAGGTTTGCAAAACATGAACTCTCTCCTTCCTACGCTTTAATCGCTTTAGGTCTGCTCACCCAGAATCCTAAACTCTAACATTTAGTGCATTTGCTTAAAATCCACCCCACTGTTAAGAAAAGTTGGCTAATCTACCATGTGACTATGCTCAAGACCAGTGCAGCTGAATAAGTAACAGTTTACCTAAATGAAGGTCTGCTTACTGTAGCAAGGATCATTTCCAACTAGCAACATCAGTGAACCCACAAGGTACATCAATTACCAAGATCAAACCAGCATGCAGAACAAACATGCACAGGACAGTGGGGGTACAGGCATGTTCCTCTTTCCTCCACTTTCTTAGTTCTTGCCACTGAAGTATCCATCATACTCGTCTCTGAGAGTGTGTGTGCGTGACTGTAAATCTTTTATATCCAAGTATATACAGTACCTGTGTGAGGGCTGAGCACTCCACATATTTCACAGCCTTGAGATCTCTTGCCAGCTTCTCGGCTGTCTCCGGAGTAATGGGCTTTTGCTTGTTCTTAGCCAGCTTCTCTATAGTGGAGGGATCATCTCGCAAGTCGATCTGAGTCCCAACTAGAAGGAAGGGCGTCTTTGGACAGTGGTGGGTGATCTCGGGAACCCACTAAATGGACAAATACAAGAGTCAGCACAATACCACACATGTGCGGAATACCGGGGGGTTTTCTTATTAAACAAAATTAGGAAAATGTTAATTTTATTTTAAAAATTTGAAGAGAGCCCTTTATTTTAACCCTTTTTTAAGGCATTTGCATCCTCAGACAAGCACTGCATTTTTAACCAAGTTCCCTTCCCTCTGGCTTTTTGTACCAAACGGCTAATTAGTACTGTACCTGCCAGTAAAATTTGAGCAACCCATAATTCATCATTTTTACAAAATAAACAATATTCAGTATATATTACACAGTATGAAACAAACTGTTACAACATGTTCATTTTTACACTAACAGAAAAACACCAAAATGAGCAGGTCACACTTACCTTTTCTTTTACATTTTCAAAGGAGGATGGGGACACGACAGAGAAACAGACGAGGAAGACATCTGTCTGGGGATAACTCAGAGGTCGTAACCTGTCGTAATCTTCCTGACCTGGAGAAGCCACACAAAAATTATATTTAACTCGATTGTTTGAAAGCACAACTCTGACTGAAAGAAAACATCACACAAACTCTACATTTACTAAAGCTCCCCTGTGGCTGCAGTGTGAAGACAGACAAGCTGCTTCTGAAAGCATGATTCCTACTTTATAATAGAAAGTGAAATGTAACATACCTGCTGTATCAAACAAGCCCAGAGTGTAGGGCTCACCTCCAATCATTACAGTTACAGCATAGTTATCAAACACCTGCAACACACAGACCAAAATCAGCTCAGCCACTCATAACGCAATAGAACTAAAGATACAGTTATAGACACATTTATTTACACTACAGAGCTGAGAAATAATATATTCAAATTGCTCGTCTATTACTCTTATTCAACATCCTTCAAATAAACCATATTCCAGCAGGTTCTTCGACCTGATTGTGTGTTTGTAAAGCTGCATACAGAACACAACTTTGATCACGTACTTAGTGGTCAAGGACAATTAGTCAACAATAGCAAACATCCTGTTCAGACCTCTGCAGGATCAACGGAAACATGCAAACAGCATTGTATGTACTCAAACTCCAAACTCCAGCTGAATCTTTTACCGGCAAATTTACAAACTAGATTTGAAATTCGAGAAAAGGTTTATAATGTGAGAGGCTTTGGAGAATTCAAATTACCCAGAACTCGAACAACCCGTAAAGGCTTTTGTGTGTCTGTATGTGGTGTGAAAATCTGGAACAGTCTGAGTTTACAATTGAAACAATGCAAAAATATTCATAGATTTAAATTTCTCTACAAACAGTTGGTCTGGTCACAGTATACTCAATGATGGGTTTTAGTGTGCTCTGTAATGTCTGTCCTCTTACCATTGCTGGTATGGATTCCAAAATAAAAAATAAAAAATAAAGTGTGCGTATGTATGTACATATATGTACTTGTGTGTGTAGATATATATGTATGTATATGTATGTGTGTCTGTTACTTGTAGTTATTACTGCCTGTTACCTGTGGTAATGCAATTTATAATTTATATATTCTGTATTCAGTTATGAAGGCTCTAATTGTTGGTTGCGAGCTGCCGCTTAGATGCTTGTATCTGCCCGGGGCTGTTGATGGGTCTGTATGCAATGATGGGCGTAGCTGCGGGAAGTTTATTGTTTTTTTTTGTTGATGAGTGAGTATAGGGGTGGGATTTAATAAGTTTTCTTCGTCCCACTCCTTTTTCAGGCAAGTTTTGTTTTTTGTTTTGTGTATTTTATGTTCAATATAGGTATTTGTTGTGCCTGAAAATGAATAAATAAATGAAATGAATGAAAATGAAATCTTCTGTAAATTGTGCAACAAGCAAATATAAACTCACGTGCGTGTGGTTCGCTGAACATGTGGTAACTAAAACATTTAAAATCTAATATAGAGATTGACGCACTTACCGTAGGTACATATTCAGAGGGAAACTTGTTTGTGGTGTAAGAGATGAGCAGGCAGGTTTTACCCACGGCACCATCACCAACTACAACACACTTAATGGTCTGCATAGCTGTGTGTTACAGTCTTTGCTACTCATTCAAGATCTGGAAAAGAAAAGAGGCACATTTAATAATTTACTTTTTGGCTGAACAACTTTCACAGACATACCACAGATAAATTTAAAAATATCATCTTTGATCATTATTATTTTACTCTACATTATACATGTGGACTTCTGATAGGAGCATTTTGTTTGAGGTGAGCTCATATTAGGAGAAAAATGCATGGACCAAGGACTAGCCATTTTTTTGTAAGCTGAGTACCAGATGGCATTTTTCATTATTTGTAAAAGACAAAATGTTGGTTAAGAACTTTTTACCTAAACTCTGACTACAAATCGTGATTTACTTGCCACAGGAAGTGAAGTGAAAACCAGTAACCTCCACTAACTACGGGAATTAAACTGGAAAGGCTCCAATGAGCTTTTTACAGTTAATGGACTGAGGGTCAGTACAGCTTAACAACTGGACACAGCACAGGCCTGCTTCACACAAATGAAGGAAGGAAACATGAAAGGAAATTTGGGAAAAAAGGGAAAACATCAGCTGGCGCAGTCTCTCTTCCCCATATGGCCCAAGAAACAGATCAGACTCAAAAACACTAATGGTGGCTTCATGCTCTTATTTTATTTGTTTTAATTTGTTATACAAAATTAGAAACTAAAACATCAAACATGAATGTAGTGTAGATGTGAACACAACTCCAAGAGTAAAGCTAACCTACAAAGTTCTTTCTGTCTGTTATCACAGGAAAAGCTCAAATTGCACAAATAAAAGAAACAACAAATCTGTTCTATTCAGTTGTGATAGTGAGCCAGTAGGAACACCACCAAGGCTCTACCTACACTGACGTGTTTTATTGTTGAAACCAACACACATATTAACATGTCAGAACGTCCACATTACAAGATGCACACGGGCTCATTATATATATGTTATTAAGCTAATGTATTTGCACTACTTTTCTTCCAGCTTAGTGTGAATTCTTCACTTGTTGCCATTATGGCCATTCTAATTTGCATTTTCCTCCGCTCTCAGTTTCACTTTGTTTGCACCCACTAACACACTAAGAGTGGAGCAGACAGTGCGCATAAAAATGAGGACAGGAAGACTCGACTAGGAAACAATTTGTTATGTAACTTTAAGTGAAATAAAAACTTACCAACAAGTGATTTATGAAAAGGAACCAGACTAAGCCAACAAAGAAAATTAATTGATGGGGCTGATGCTTTGCTGTTATGCTAACTGAGTCACTGACAGGCATATAGGAGGTTGAGGCACTCCTGATATATTAGGCTATCGTAGATATTTAATATCACGTTCTACGTAGAGATGGGAATCTCAACCAAAAGAACTATTCAATATTCATTGACAGTCATTTGATGGTTCTTCAACAATCATCATCCATCTCAAACCACTTCTAAATGACTATGTATAGCTTTAACTACAGCTTTTGCTTGACTTCATCTGCTCGTCTTTTTTGCTTTTATTTCTAAAGCTGTCTGTCTTTCCATGTTTCTTGGTAAGTAGTGTATAACGTCACAGCAGTACTTTCTTGGTCTGACAACATTGTTCAGTGTGTGCCTGATTTTAGAGACAACGCACTGTATGTAGTACACAAGCAACACTGTTCCCCCATTTCTCCTCTGTAAGTTACAGTCTGTCAGTGCTAAGCCACTGCAGAGCTCTGCAGCACAGTGTGGGGGTGGGGATGTCATTGAGAGAAGCATGAGGGACAAAACTGCAGGCACCAAACGCTACAGTGTTTAACACAGAAACAGAACCTGCTAAAACAGGTGCCCAACTAACAACCCAAATATCTTCAACATACCACTCCTTTTCAAAAAAGGCTTTTACATTAGACCTGTAAGTTTTTTTTCCCTGTCATCATCAGTGCAATACCTGCTACAGATTTATGTGATTTCTACCACTATGCCACTGCATATGTCTAATGCATATGTCATTGTTTAAAATGCCTTATAAGTCTTTAATGATTTATTCCAGCAATTAGAGCACAATCAAATGAAGTTGTCCACTTCTAATAATGAACATTTCTAAACCAAAAATCATTTCCCCACACGTGTACCATTTTCTGAGCACAAGTCAAATCTCCCCTTATTAACAAAAACCTCATCACAAAATACAACATGTTTCTATCCAGTATGTTGTTATAATACAACAATGTTTAACACAATTACAGCTGTTAAATATCTAATTGAATGGAGCTGTACGTGCTAATGGAGCTTACCCATTACCGCAAGTGCATCATATGAGCAGCTAGCATTACCGGAAACTGAACAATGGGCGCTTCCGGCTGGAAATTCTCCAGGTGTGATGCAATACAGGGCAGTTCTTTTAGGAGGGATTTTATAAAATAATGTGAATAATGTGAATAATATGTAAAAACAAAAAAATTGACCATACGTACATTGCCTGAAAATACTGAATTGTAATGCTGAACTATAAATGCTTGTCTGTTCATGTGAATTTGTTAATGTTGTGATAACTGTTTCATGTGTGTCACAATGCTACACAGCAGTTTTCTCAGTATAAACAAAAATTTGGTGCCACCAAAGAGTCTGGCCTTTCAAAGTAAAATCACCAGGACACAAGACTAAAAAACAGAGACTAAGTTGGCTTTGATTTTTTTCAAGTTTAAATCATTTTGTAAAAACACATACCGGTACCCTACAATAATAACAGGAAAATGCACAGACTTGTAAGTAAGGTCAAACAGACATGCAAAACTTGATTAATCAGAGTACATATGTTATCAAGGTTGATCCCAAAAAATCTATATATAAAGCAACTGCATTATGCCGCATCTTGATCCTAAAAGTGAAGACACTCCATTTGGCTGGGATTACACTCCTGCGTAGATGTACGTGCAAACTGCTGCAGACACCATGGACAAGTAACAGGCGGTATCTGATCATGTTCTAGTCCACTTAGAGTACACACCACTGGTTTATCAACAAACTGACAGATTTCTGTCTCCGAAAACCAAGAACACTGTTATTACAGATGTTGGCAGATGAATCAAGCATAACACTTATCGACAACATTCCAACGCACATCATCAAGGAGAACTGTGCCTTAGGACCAAGTCAACTAATTACTGACTAAGAGAAAGTGCCACTGTCTTCAGCAATTCTTTGGTTGGTGAATACATGGTCAATTTCACTGTACAATGAACACCGTGACATCCATGAAACACAGTAGTGTATGAACACAAGTATTTTACTGTGTGTCCCATCAATCTGAATAAAAATCTCAACTCATCTTGTAAAAGTAAAAAATATAAATCTAAGTGTAACAATGTAGTAAGCCAACGGCAATGGGCACCAAAGGATGACTGCAGCTGCATTAATGCCGCCAGACTTAATCCTCACATTTGTGTTTGTAGGCCAGCCAGCACTAACTGCAGCCCTGCTTAAATACTAATAGCGAAAGCGGCTCAACTGAGCCTGATAACAGTTTCCAAATATTTAGCTGCCATACTGAAATGGACTCTGTATAATTTGCGATTTTGTATGTTCGGGTCAGCTAATCCTCTGAGCAGTGTGGATTTATTTTAAAGCAGACACTTATGTCATCTACATGATCAAATATCAGTACATTTAAACACAAACCGGTAATGATCGTTACGTTGGAGGTATTTCCTTAAGGATTGGTCATAACTTCCTTCTAATTTCCACTGATACATGTACGTACTTCCGCACGTTGGGGGGGAAAGAATGTTACCCTCTGATTCTTGACAAAAACAGACCTCAATCATGTGTATTTTTGATCTGACATCACCGACCCGAAATCTCAAACTAGACTTTGTCTTCCGTTGAGTTTATAACATGTTTAACTACGCAGCCGCGAGTGGTGTGCCAAGCTGTTAGGATCAGCATGTAAATATCCTATTATGGAACATTTTACCTCACACTTGAGAGATAACTACCACTTAAAGATCTGTTAGCTTGGTAGCATTAGCCATATATTTCGGCCACATCCTCGGCCTCAGTCTGGCCTAATTTCCTGCCCGCTGTTAAAACGATAAACTTACAACTGATCCCCTATTTTTACAGGGTCAGTGTTATGAATCTTTTCCTTAGTACCCAGACATTACGCTTTCCATCTATACGATGGGACTATGCTGTCTACAAAATCACAACTTAACCAAACTCTTGGTATGCTCGTTTATTCTGTTTGTTAACCCACTTACCGCGTACCGTAACTAGTCAATTCTTAGGTTCGTCACCAACTTATCTTAATAACAAAGAGGTGTTTTATTTTATCATTACAACATCAGAACCACCAATTAAAAAACTTGCATGTTCTTTATGAGTAACTCCAGGAGCTCGATTTACACACCGGTCTAACGATAGACACCCTGCCTGTTTCGCTAGCTAACTACTGTCCTCCCCAATTAGCTTGCGAGCTAACGAGCTGTGCTAAGCTTAGCGGATGCTGTTGCTGAATGAGTCTGATAAACTGCTGATTACAATCAGTGTTAGGAATTCATATTATACAGTAAAGTGACAAGAGTTAGACCTAAACATTACCCAAAAGAATAAATAGTAATAAGAAACGAGCAAAAAATTTCCATACCGTATCCTCTATTTGTGTCTTTACGCCGGGCGTTGGCAGCTCCGTGCTAGGGGTTTCCCAGTCAACAGAACAGGGACACGTTGAGTTGCGTAGCGACTAACTACGTAATTACGTTAATCAATTTGCCTACATTAAGGCTCATTTTCTGAGGCCAAAAGCTAAAATGGTATTATTGTTTAAACCAAGTAGTGTGTGGTTCCAGTAAATTAATAACCTGATTTTATAACTTTTCAACATAACATTCAAGATCAACATTCACAGCATCTGTGTCGTTTGCTAATCAGACCAGTAGATACAGCATTTACTGTATAAAGTACATTGCCTAATTTGTTTCAATTTATATTCTCCCTGCATTTAGTAAAATAAACAAGCTATACACTACTTACAAAACGTACATATACATTAAGTAGTCTGCACTCATAATTTGGGCATGCACCCAAGTTCTGCCCTAATTTTCTTTGTAGCAGTTCTGTACTATGTACAGCATAGAAAAGTTACACGAGGAAGCACATGTTCATTTTCTGTATTTCACACACAATAACGCCTGCACTTACAAGACAGACGTATTAAATGCAACTGCGCCGCTGCAGTGCATTTGACCTATATACGTGCACTGCAATAGTTCTGTCTGCCACTAGACGGCAGCACAGTCCATTAAACCAAAACACATCTAGAGTCTGAAACACTAAAAAGTTAACAGAGAACAACTGTAAGAAAAAAAAAAACCTTTATTCTCCAAACAGATCCATGTGGTAGAAAGAAACAATTACAATATTCATGTCATAAACACAAACACTTAATCTCTGAAGAAAAACAAAAACCAATTTCTTCTACAAAAGTTGAAGTTTGTAGACATCTCCATTCTCGCCTCAGTTGGACACACTCTGCAGCAAGGTAATGTTGTCTCCCTTCAACATGATCCTCCCTGGGCAACACAGAAAAGAATGAAGGAGAGATCAAAGCTAAATTAGAACAGAACTGCCAGATGCTGGACAAGGGGAGGCACAAAGTGTCTGTTCACTTTCAGACAAAGCACCATGCCCCCATCAACGCTGGGTAAAGGTAATGTGAAATCTAACATCAGTATAAAGTGGATCAGTAGCCAGGGGCATGATGCAACAACAGAGCAATCCTCACCAACCACCTACAGTCCCCAACAAACACACACACAAAAATCCAAGAGTTGATTTCATTTACAATCCCAACTGCAAATAAGTTGTGATGCTGTGTAAATTGTAAATTAAAAACAGAATAAAATGACTTGTATGTATGATTGATATATATATATATATATATATATATATATATATATATATATATATATATATATACACACACACACACATACACACACACACACCTATGGTCAGGTCCTCAGGCAGCACTGTGTTAAAATCAGACATAAGATAAGACAACCTTTATTAGTCCCACACGTGGGAAATTTGTTATGATTCTGTTATGGAAATCAGTGTCTGTGAACACAGCTCACTGTGCCATCCACAAATGCAGGTTGAAAGCCATATGTGAACATGATCCAGAAATTCCAGTCTGGGCCAAAGTTCATTCAAAATGAACTGAGAAAAAGGGGAAAACTGATCTGTGATCAGATGATTCAAGATTTTTGGAAAAAATGAACTCTGGACTAAAGAGGAGGGGGACCATCTGCCTTATTATCAGTGTTCAGTTCATAAGCCTGCATCTCCGATGGTGGATTTATGCCTATGGAATTGACAGTTTGCAGGTGTGGAAAGACAGCAGTGCTGAACGTTGTATACAGGCTTTAGAACAACATTTATATATATAATCCTGATGACGTCAAGACAACGCTAGACCGCATAGCACAGCTATTAAAACAGCATGACTTCGTAGCAGCAGAGTCCAGCTGCAGAATTGACCTGCACTTTCACCATTTGAAAACATTTAGTACGTCACGAAACAGAAAATGCACCAAAGCAGACTGACGATTGTCTTGAAATTCTTACATGTGTTGTGTGTTTGTATTTTGCTTCTTTGTTTCAAATCACTGTAAGTGTTTTTAATTACACTTTACATAGCATCCCAACATTTTCAGAATTGGGTTTGCAGTTTCTGGGATATGCAGGACAATTGTTTTTCAAAAATCCCTGAGAAACAACAATGTCTTGATGACACACAATTTTTCTTCATTCTTACCTTTCACAGTCAACCTTCCTAAAAATAATAAAGTAAAATAAAGTAAAGTAAATAAAGTAAAATAATAAAACAGCTTTACAAAAAGTGATGCACTCTTACCCAATGGTTTTCTGTTCTTAGTCTTCATGTGGACTTCCTCAGCATCGTCTAGAACCAGATTCATGTACTCATCGAAACCCTAAGGCAATGAGACACAAGACAACAAAAGTGAGTCACATTGGTTTAACTAGAACTTGTACATGCCTGATCTCACAGAAAGTTCAGCCTGAGTGGAAATGCTACTCATAGATCAGGCCATTTCAAGTTAGACCAAATCATTTTAAGCCATGCTAGGATATAATGTGGCCATACAGGGGAACAGCAAGTGACAAAGGTTTGTTCCCAGTGAGAGCTTGTTTCTATCTAGATAGCAACACGCACATGGTGAAGATGACTTCTTTGATTTCTTTGGTGTGTATAACACATTTCAGCCACTGCTACTTAGAGAAGGCTAAAGGGAATGCGAGTAAACAGTATGTAAAACTGGGCAGTGCTCGGTGTCAAAATGATGACATGGTACAGGAGCTCCACAGGGAACTGAGCCATCTCCACTCCTGTTCACCTTGCAGACCTTACTTACCACAAAACTAATAATTCTGCAGTGGTCAGATGCATCAATGATGGGCAGAATGAGTACAGAGCACTAATGGATGATTTGGTGGAGTTGTCAGAGAGGAATCAGCTGTTTCTGAATGTGAATAGGACCACAGAGATGACAGACTGACAGAAGAAAATGGGTGGCTATACCACCTCTGTCTATCCTGGGACAGAATGCTAATGTGGAGGAGGAGGACAAGTACCTGGTCATCCACACTGACAACAGGCTGAACTGGAAGACTAAGGTTGAGGCTGTATACAAGAAGATACACTGTGACACCAAATAAGTGGATAAACTGATCAGGAAGGCTGGCTGCCAACTGGACACATTTGAACGTGTGTTACAGAGGGTGGTTACTGAGGCTCAGATTATGCTTCAGTGGGAAATCTGCATTGTAGCTTACAACATAACCAGAAATCCCCTTTAACCCTATGCCATAACCTTCCACATAACCTGACGTGCACCTCCTGAGGAATCTGCCTGCCAGGTCAAAGCAGCCCGCCACAACTGACTGGCCTGGAAGGTTACGACGTAGGGCTAAGAGGGGTTTCCACACTGCCCATCAACATCAAGCTTTATAAACTGACCAAGAACATGGAGAAAGGTTGTATGTTACTTACGATAATGCAGCCTTCTATCCGCATGTTCACCTGTTCATACAACCAAACCTGGATCCGTGAGCGCTGGGAATGAGAGAGAGAATAAACTGAATACAGTTTTATCTTCAAAATTACCAGAAAACAAAACTAATCAGAAGGATGCACGAAAAAGTTAAAAGCTACTTACATTTTGCAGGTACCTGAAAATGAGATTCTGACAACCACAGTCAAGGACATACACACAGACTCAAGTTCAACATGTTTATAGTTAAAATGTGCACATATGTTGTTAATGGTTATATTTGCATTTAGTCCAAGTTATTGGAAATGTGATTCAGAGTCAGAGTTTGGGTCAGGGGTTCTTCCTGGCTTAAAATTGGCTTTTCGGCTTCATATCTTGAGGGCAAACTTTATTTTCCCCTGATCCTTTTGTAAATAAAAATCTGTTTAACAAATAATTAAAATATAGTTACATTTATTTTTGTCATTATTTTAGGTTTAGGTAATTCTTACATCATATTAGCAGTAATATCAATTGCTGGCATTCCCATAAGAGACCATGTAAACGTGGATCGATAGCAAATCAAAGAAAACACTACCAAGTTTCACTAACAATTAACTAATTATATTTTTAAAATATTTGAGAAGATGAAAGTAATTCCAGTTTTATAGCTATTAACTGTCAAAACACTTTCGTTAGGTAAGTATTCCGTAACTTCCTCACTCTCCCACATCATATTATATTTTGGTGTTAATAACTATCGATTGGTGGGCCTAAAACCCTCCATATGGTATCATATTGAGTAGTTTGAAGGCAGAAATTAGCCTCTTTTGCGTTTAGCTATAACACGGAACCACAGAGCCGGTGTTTTCCCGGGATTAACGCGGCTAAGTCTATACACTGGCTTTCTGACTGCATTTCAATAAAACACATTTTTTTTTCTGCAAACATATTTCATACCCGCGCGACTTCTCTGGGTGAAACTGGTCTTCAAAAAAGCTTACATGCCTTGTAAAACTCCTCTCCTCACATGAGTGACTACAAATGTTTACGAATGACTAAATGTTAGCCTAGCTACTAAGCTATTGTAGCAACCAATTCAACCGCGCAGTGTCGTCCTGCAATACAAAAGGATACAATGGGCTGCACCATAACCTTCTGGACCTTCTGTCCTTGTCCTCTGTATGCCATTCCTCCAACTAATTACCAGCTGTAGGTATATGCTGAAAAAAATTGCACCTTTTGTTAAAAGAGTGCACTACAACGAAACTCTCACGTTGTGAGACGTCTTCAATGGCGGGTTTCCTTTCGCGTGCTCTGCCAGCACGGAAGTCTTGTGATGTGAAAGAGCGCCCCTGTGGGTGGGAGGTCACTATAAAAACACTAGAACAAATCAACGTTTATAACCTCGCGAGAACATACCTGTGCAAGTTTGCGGGCAGCGTAAAACGCGCGGTCTTTAGCATAAAAACAAACTAAAAAGCCATGACAACATCCATCATCGTCTGTATGTGACAAAAGTTAACATTCTCCAGCTCTAGGTGTAGTGCCATTTCCTGTTTCCTATGATAGAGCTATAGTATGTAACCAGAAATGTCAACTTTAAAAGAACTTAACTATGTCAGTGGGCCTCAAGTTTATTCCATTATTTTGTCAGTAAAAACCAGATCGGCAGAACTATATCTGTGCAGGAACAGATTATACAAAAAAACAAAACAAACAAACAGTCATCATGATGACTTTTAATTTCAGGAATATGTACATGTTATTTAGGATCAAAACGAATCTGCAGTATCATTTTTTTAGTTTAGTCCATATCAGCTGTACTTCATTTTATTGAACCCCATTCATTATTAAGTAGCACATGTTAAAAATTCTCCTGACCACAAGGCTAATCATGACTCTTCGGATTTTACCTGCTGTGTTCTTGTGTTTCTGTTTTTATCATTTTAAAATCTTTTGGTTGTAATTTTTTTGCTGTAATGTTATGAATGAATGAGCGTAACAAAGCTATGTTAGCTGAATCATTTCAGGATAGAACAGTCAGGACAGTCAGGACACACACCAGTGTGTGAATGTGTGTGTGAATGGGTGGATGACTGGATATGTAAAGCGCTTTGGGGTCCTTAGGGACTAGTAAAGCGCTATATAAATACAGGCCATTTACCATTTACCATTTTTCTTTTTATTTTAGCCATCTAATTTTTAAACAAGAGCCATAAAGTGTCTATCTGCAGGGACACAATGGTTAAGATAGAACATCAGACGCCGTCTTCTTGGATGTGTCTCAGTCTACAGTTTGATTGTTCCCTGCAGAATAGTGATGGCCTGTCCAGCTATGTTGATTCTTCCATCATCCCTCAGTTCAAGTTCCAGCTCACCACCACGACTGGAGCACTGGTAAGCTGCACAGACACAATAAGCAGGTTAATTATGGATAAAAGTGGAACACAACGTCTGTTATCATCAGATAAATGACACATTAGTAAAAGGCGGAGAAGGTTCAAATACGTACCCAGCATTTTCTTCTTTCCTAGTTTTTCAGACCAGTAGCTACCTAGGATTGTGTGGTTAGAGCCTGCCAGAACAAAGAATGCATAGCAGGAATAGCTTAACACTTTCTCTCAGTAATAAGACACCTGTAAATGCATCCTCTTTAATCACTTTAGTCCAGCTGCTTATATGTAAACGTTTTTAGACACACAAACATGGTCAGAATTATGTTATTTGAGAAATAATGTCTATAGATTACATACTAGTAAAGAGCAACCATCTTACCAGTGACAGGATCCTCAGGGACGCCAAACCATGGAGAAAAGTCTCTCGAGTAGAAGTCATATCGTGGCTGGCAGTCAGGTGATCCTGTTTCCACATGTTAGCAGTGTTTGATATGTAATGTTTGTTGGCAGAAACATTCAGTGAATGTTGTTATACAAATTAAAATGGGCAACAAACGAGTCCACAGGATGGTGACGGCAAAGGAGAAATCGGCGCACCATTTGTCCTGTGATCAAACATTTCCCCAGAGCTCAACCCAAGTGAAGGCCTATATCAGGGGTCCCCAATTCCAGTCCACAAGGGCCGGTGTCCCTGCAGGTTTTAGATCTCACCCTGGGTCAACACACCTCAATCACATGATTAGGGATGGGTACCGGTGTCCGGTGCCATGATGGCACCGGTTCTGACATAAACGGTAGTAACCAGACCGAAAAGCAGCGCACATTTCGGTGCTTTATTTCGGTGCTTTTTTTTCCTGAGCTGTGATACACTTCTAGCCAATCATTTTACGTTTCCGAGGATAGTAGGCGGGGCCAGGTACGTACGTTCTGTTAGAGCAGAGCTACAGATTAAAAATGCCCAAGGCGAAGCGGTCAAAAGTCTGGCTGTACTTCACAGCAAAATATGCAAACTCAGCAGCAACAAGTGCTTTAAGCTGATACTGTGATACTGTCAAAGGAGGTAACACCAAGAATCCGATGAAACACCTGGCGACGCATAGCGTTTTTTTTTAAAAGCCAAGAAATGCGCCGTATTTGATAGCTTGCTGCGAGACCTCACACCGTGCACGTCGGGTGGGTTGCCAGTTATCGGACCCGGAGCAACATCCCCCAAAAACCCGAAGAATAGAGTCCTGGCCCCTAGCCCTGCCAGTGTAGCAGAAATGATGACGGATGATGATGGCAGCAGCAGCCGTTCTTCTCTGCGTGAGTAGCTTAATGTTGTTCGTGTGTAATTTACGTTGAGTAGGCTAACCATGTTATTACATTAATGCAGGTATGGTGAACTAGCAAACACCATCATAGCTACATGCGGCTGTCTTCTTGTTTGATGGCAGATACTCCCTTCACCCTGGCCAAAAAGGCTAAAATGACCAAAGAAAAAGTGGAAAACAGCTAAACATGAGAGGTTTTTGGACAAAGTTTGTGTTTTTTCCATTGTTTAAGCACTGCTTCCAGCCAAGAGTGATACCATATATGCCACATAGCTGCAGAAAAGGCTAACATTGTTATCTTTTTACAAAAAAAAAAAAACAGCTGAACATGAGAGGTTTTTGGACAAAGTTTGTGTTTTTTCCATTGTTTAAGCACTGCTTCCAACCAAGAGTGATACCATATATGCCACATAGCTGCAGAAAAGGCACACATTGTTATCTTTTTACAAAAAAAAAAAACCAGCTGAACATGAGAGGTTTTTGGACAAAGTTTGTGTTCTCCATTCTTTAAGCACCGGTTCGAGCACCGTTTAAGCACCGGCACCGTTTCAAAAGTACCGATTTGGCACCGGTATCGGATAAAACCTAAACGATACCCATCCCTACACATGATTAGTTCATTACCAGGCCTCTGGAGAACTTCAAGACATGTTGAGGAGGTCAGTTAACCTTTAAATCAGCTGTGTTGGATCAAGGACACATCTAAACCCTGCAGGGACACCGGCCTCGTGGACTGGGATTGGGGACCCCTGGCCTATATTATGAGTGGAATCATAGACTGTGCTCTTCATCACCATCATCATTAAAACACCAAATGAGGGAATGTTTTTGGCAGAGTGCTGTTCATCCCTCTAACAGAGGTGCATTGAAGCTTTTCTGATGGTACATGGTGGGACCACACCTCGCTTAAACACTTCATGTTGGGTTTCCTCTGGTTTATTCTTTACTGTTACGTCTTCATTTTAATGGAATTACTACATGTGGTCCGATCCAGCAAGTCTACAACTCTACGAAACGCACAGCTCCGATTACCTTTCATAGTGATGATGACGGCGCAGAATCTTCCACTTCTCTCAGTATTCTCAAGAGCCACAGTGTCAACTTTCAGATCGGTAAGCGCAGAGCTGGAGATAATACACAAAAAGCACATATACATTTACTAAAACGTGATGAGTGGGTGTAGAAGGCCAGTTGCTTGATTATTTGTTTGGGCTTTAAACATATGAATAAGCCCCACTAGCCGGGCACCTGAGAAATATAATTGATTGTTGCTGAACAAATGTTTAAGATCTCATGAACAGTAGGACCACTATTGAGATTCCTTTGAATTTGGCAACAAGCAAAGTGTTTTTTAACCAACATGTCACAGCTGTCAGCCAGTCGAATCAGCAGCTTCTTGGTGTTGTAGCAAAATAAAACTTCCTGAACCGGGAGGTTTCCGACTGCCGCCTGTGTCACACATGTAAAGGCAGAGACTTAGCTGAACACACACACAGGAATGTAGTTACACTTTCTCAAACTGTTCAGAAAAATGTGATTTCTGACCTTGATGGTGTCTTTGAAGTCGTTGGGATCCTGAAATAAAGGGAGTTCAGAAAGAAAGCCATTTTATACACTGTTAATAAAACACAAGAACTCGTTTTTTTACATTACAGGATCTGATTAAATTGTTCATGTAACTAAACAGGAAAAGTTTATTTTACCACTCTGGTGGGGGGATTCAGAGGAAAGTCCATGATGTACCCTTCCTCCTTCTGGGTGACGGAAAGATCTCCACTTTTGGTCTCAAACACCAGGGTGGGATTTACATTTTCTGAAGGAAAAAATCCATTATATGGTTACATGCTGGCACCTCTTTGCTCCTTCTTGCAGTCAGCTGCATTGTGCATTACAGGCATCTTTTAAAATAGCTCCAGCGGCCTTTTCTAGTGCACCATGATGTCACTTTTTGGTTTTTTGAAAAACCTTTTTATGTGTAAATGTTGCATCTTACTGATGTGTTGGAATAGCACTGCTGCAGAGGCCAGAGTGGCATGACCGCACAGGTCTACTTCAGTAGTTGGTGTAAACCATCGAAGGCGGAATCTTGATCCTGTTAATCACACATTTAAGACTTTTTTCAGTTTTGTTTTGGTATTAGTTTCAAATACACAGAGTTAAGCAGTGTAGATAATAATGTTAGTGATTGGCTTACATCCACAAAGGTCTTCAAGGTCCAATTAATGATTTATTGGTTAAAGATTGACAAAAAGCCTTATAATTTAGAAACCATCATTGGCCTCCCGTCCACACTGAGACGGCGTTTTCCCCGAAGGAAAACGCAGCGTTCTCAAAACGCTCTCGAAAACGCATATATTTGAAGACGGTGCTTTGGCATGGCAGTGTGGACTGAAAACGCAGACTTTCGAAAATGATGGCACATGTTAGTCATATGATGCAGTCATGTGACCAATTAAACAAAGATCGAGGAGGGCATTACACAGCAGTTGTTTTGTTTGCTCTCAATTTTGACAGCCCTATTAAAGATTAATATCAGTTTCTACATTCTTTAATTCTCACTCGCTTTTGCAACGTTGTACTTTTGTGTTACTCGCAGCAACAACTCCACCTCATTGTTAGTCCATTTAAAAAAAACTTGGTGTTTTTCCTCAACATTTTGCCGCGACGTTTCAAAGAGCCAGAAAGTAAATAAACGGCAGATAGAAATGAGGTAGGTCGAATCTTCTTGCGTTTTACGCATGCACAGTACTGGAACGTAAGCGTTTTCGGCCGTTTCAATGTGGACGCACAACTCTGTGAAAACGAATTAAGACGCTAGTGTGGATGCAGAGCGTTTTCAGATGAAAATGCCGTTTTCAAATCTATCCGGGCTAGTGTGGACGTAGCCTTAGAGAAGCTGCTCATAGCTGGAAGTAATTAAATTGTGGGAGATGAGAAAAAATGTGGGAGATGGCTCTACAACATCTGTGTGTGAGCAGAGAACTGCAAATGCCAGATGATATTTTTGGCAAATTACAAGAAGAATACTGAACTGTTACTGTCATGGTTTGGGTTCACTTTTTACTTATTTAATTTAAATATCAGGCACTCTTTAAAAAGTCATACATGCTTTGATCTTATTACATATGGACTATTGTAATTCCCTCTAATATGGGCTCAACCAGTTTTTTTCTCCTTTCTCAGCAAATATAATTCAGAGTAAGGCAAGGCAAGTTTATTTGTATAGCACAATTCAACAACAAGGTGATTCAAAGTGCTTTACAGAGACATTAGAAACAAGAACAAATAAAAAGCATGATTTAAAATTGAATAAAACAAGCAAATTAACTAACTAATTAACAAACAAAAACAAACAAACAACAGTATATAAAATCAAAACAGATTAAATCAGAACAGTAGATAAAATCAGTAGTTAAATGTAAGTTTTGAAATTTAAGCTTAAAGTGTGGATTTGGTGCTTTATTCAAATGCAGCTGAGAACAGGTGAGTCTTCAACCTGGATTTAAATAAACTGAGTGTTTCAGCTGATCTGAGGCTTTCTGGGAGTTTGTTCCAGATATAAGGAGCATAAAAGCTGAATGCAGCTTCTCCGTGTCTGGTTCTGACTCTGGGAACTGATAAAAGACCAGATCCAGATGACCTGAGGGATCTGGATGGTTCATACTGGGTCAGGAGGTCATTGATGTATTTTGGTCCTAAACCATTCAGAGCTTTATAGGCCAGCATCAGAACTTTAAAGTCTATCCTCTGACGGACAGGCAGCCAGTGTAAGGACCTCAGAGCTGGACTGATGTGGTCCACTTTTTTGGTCTTAGTGAGGACTCGAGCAGCAGAGTTCTGAATGAGCTGTAGTTGTCTGACTGATTTTTTAGGTAGACCTGTAAAGATGCTGTTACAGTAATCAAGCCTACTAAAGATGAATGCATGGACTAGTTTTTCCAGGTCCTGTTGAGACATCAGATCTTTTATCCTTGATATATTCTTGAGGTGATAGTAAGCTGACTTTGTTATTGTCTTAATGTGTTTTTCTAAGTTTAGGTCTGCATCCATCACTACACCCACATTTCTCGCCTGGTTTGTGGTTTTTAGATGTATAGATTGAAGTTCTCTGGTGACCTTCTTCAAAAGTCACATTTTTAAGTCTGAAGTTAAACTTATTGTATCTGTTCCTGCTTCTTCTTTGTCTTTGTGTTAATGATACCTGCATTCCTCTTGGACCGACTGCACACTGCATTTTTCACTGTGACAGCTTGTTGCACAGTTCTTTGGACTCCATACAATGTAACATTTTGACCCGACAGACTGCTGAGGACAGTTTGTGCACAAAGTGAGTACAATGCAGCTCTGTGTGTGTTTAACTGTATAGGATCTCTCTAAACATAAGCTATTGAACAGATAAACTTGAAAAATAATGAGCTCCTGCTGATGGTTGTGGGTCCTTAATTCTGCCTGACGGGACTAGTTTAGTTTTGCTGAAGGCTAACCTTTCGTGAATGACATTTCTCAATAGGTACAAAGTGCCATGAAATAGACTTTGTGGTGATTTAAAGATATTTTTCTCTAATTAACTGTATTTTGACCCTGAAATGTCTGTTGTCTCACTTTGTTAACAGAGCCACTGGTTTGATTCAGACACTCCTAACTGTTCCTGCAGCTCACATCATTACAAAATGACGTGGCATTTTCTCTTAGAGCCTCACAGCTGTGCAAATTCTTCACCACTACTACAGCTTCTTCTTTATTTAATAGTGACTCCATTTTTTCCTATCATACAATTTCCTTGACTCATTTATTTCACTTGTCATGTTATTCAGGTTTTCAGGTTTTTGTTATTTTATTTCAGTCTTTTTTATTTTCTGCAAATACGATATACTACGGTTCTTATAACTATAAAGTCATACAAACTTGTTAATCCATATTGAAAAATTTCTATCCTGCACCTATAGGGACTACTTTTAAGTTTAAGCAGTATGTGAATCATACACCATACTGTATACTTTTGAAAGGGAGCTTTCCATTACAGCATTATAATCTAAGAGGCTTTGGAATTGGCAACCCAAATGTGATCTGAATTAAAACAGACATACCTGTAGTAAAGCTATCAGAGGGATTAATCCTGGTGATGAAAGCAGTTTCTGAGAGGTTCATCTCTGCTGCTATCTTGTAATACAAGTCATCACTCAGCTCCTGTTAGAAACACACGATTTGATGAGTGTCACTGATATGAGCTGCTATGACCACGGTTCCAGATTAACTGGGGTTTATGGAAGCCCGTTTCCGCCACTAAAAAAAAAAGGATCCATAACTCAAAATTTCGAGTTATTTTCTCAAAATTCCGAGTTACTTTCTCGAAATTTCGAGTTACTTTCTCGAAATTTCGACATATTAACTCAAAATTTCGACATATTAACTCAAAATTTTGAGAAAAGTAACTCGAAATTTCGAGTTAGTGCTGCCAATCAGTAATCTACATGAATGACGTCATTTCCTTGTTACCCGGAAGCTGAAGCCCTCAGCTACAAATGCTACAGCTAAGCTACCGGTATTACATCCAGTCGTGAATGCACAGATTGCTGAGTGTTTTCAGCCTGGCTTCACAAATGATGAAGTCCCTGTGTTATTAGCTGAATCACATGGTGTTACTATCAGCAAACGTACTCGCGAAAGCGCCAATTTGTTGGGATCCGTTTTTGAGTGCGCGTTCCTCTGCGCCATATGCTTCCGGGTAACAAGAAAGCGACCTCATTCACATATATTTTTGATTGGCAGAGCTAACTCGAAATTTCGAGAAAAGTAACTCGAAATTTCGAGAAAGTAACTCGAATTTTGGCAGTCCTGGCGCCTGGCTCTCATCATGAAATAATTTTATCTGTCAGCCTCACCCATCAAACTCAGGGGGCGGGGTTAACGCTGATCGAGTCAAAACCATTGCTTTGGCCTGGTGGCCATTGTTTCTAGCACACAACAACCGGCATGTGGAAGCTAACAGAACTGAGCTTTGAAAAACCCTGTTTGTGTGTCACCAAATACCGTTTTAATATTTTTTTAGCCGAGAATGTAGTGGTTTAATCTTCATGTGTCTGGTCGGTTTGTCAAGATACAGCCTCTTTGCAAAAGTGCTTCGATGATTTCGGAGATGTCTGCCCAGTCTCACGGCAAAGCGTGGGATAGACCCGCTCGCCTCGCAAGCAATCCCACCGACAAAGCGCAGGCCCCGGTACACAGCTGTAGTAACCCCCGCTGACTTCTTTTACTGAGGTTATATTTATCGGTGTTTTATTTCCTGATGTTCTTATGTGTCCTACGTGTTTCAGTCGCCAATTCTGAATTATAACTAACATTAAAAACATGTTTAAGGAGGAGAGAGAGCAAATAAATCTGTTTAACATCTGATCTTTGGGTTTTTGTTCAGTAATCAACGTGACCTGTGTATAAACGCATAAAAGAGATAAAGTTGGTGTTTCCGTCATGTAGTAACTGCTGGCTTTAACTGTACGAAGGTTGTTCGACACTATGAAACACATACAGACTTCATGATGTTCGGCTAATATTTTTATTGTGAATATTAATCATGCTGACCTCGCTCTGTACACCACGCAGCGAGGTCAGCATATCCACGATATCCACGATATCCTCAGCTCCATGAGTTAACACAAAGTTTCCCAGCTGACTATCTAACTGCCAACTATTCCAGAGACGTGAAAATATACAGCATAAAGAAAAGTGTAAGAGACTCAGCAGCAGATTAGAATAACAGTTATACATTTAATAAATCACCAAATGAATCCAAGAAACGAGCAAACCTGTTCCGACAATTTGAGTTTGTATTCCCTCAGCTGCAGACTCGCTGCTGTTTAAATGTTTGAAAAGGAAGATTAGATATAAAAAACGTCAAACATAGACTCAGTCTGCCTTCACATTTGATATGAGGCCAGCACGTATAGTGGCCTCAGCAGGCTATTACTGAAATACACGTGCTATATCATAAACTATGATATAAATAGGGAGGTCCTATTAACATGTTTAGTTTTAAAGGACACCTTCCTGCCTTTAGTCTCATTCATGAGCAGTATTAGTTTTCTTCTAACATCCAGAAGTCTGCACGATGTGTTTCATAGTTTGTAACAAGCCTTTGACAGGTAAACATAACATGACCGAAAAAGCAAAAAAAAAAAAAGAGAGAGAGAGAGTGTTGACATAAGAAGAGAAAATGCTCTCAATTATGGAGACAGGCAAATGGTTCATTTATGTTTGATGTGTGTTTATTCCTCCCTAAATATCGTCGGTGAAGTTTGCCATGCACGTCAGATTTTCCTGCGCATTTTTATACCTCTGCCAACAGAGAGAAAAAAAATCACATTCTAACAGACAGCTGGTGCTTAGAATACAGTTGAATAACTATTAAAAAACAGATGATATTTAGATGATAGTTCAGTCTAACACATGTGCCAGTGAACCATTAAACGTCTGTGAAACTATGCAGTTATGAAACGTAACTTTAACCTCAGCCAAACCGATTTGCTCAGTTGTAAATAAAACAGCGAAGTAAACGTGACCCGACAGACAGAACCTGAGTGAATGAAGTCCAGCGTTTAACCACTGAGAGCTAAAACTCAGCTGAGGTTTGAAAGCTGTGTGCCGGTGATTGGACATCAGCCGCCGATGAAGCTGTTCGCCTATAAAGTGCTCTGTAAGGAAACAAGCTCCAGCAGCTCTGCGCTCGGGGAAAACACTATATTTACTTATCTTGTGCAGAAAATGCGCTGACATTGCTTTATATCGAGCACCGGCTGCCCAGTTAAACTGTGACTATCACCAGGTAACGTAGGCGTGTTTCTTGAATTAGCAGCAGGTGTTAAACAGCTGACAGATGAGGAGGAGGATGCGTGCAGGTAAACTGAGGGTCTGTTGAGCTGATCGCTGGTTTCGTGAGAAAAATGTCAGCTCGTTCTTTATGTTACAGAAGCACAGAGACACAAGACCAGGCGGAAAGAGATGATCGTTCGGTGAAAATGAGAATCTGCGAATGCAACATGTGGAACACGGAGAGTGGAATATGTAAACAAACCGGTTAACGTAATCCCCTCGGTGCACTCTGCATGCTAATTGTTAGCAGAGCTAGTGAAATCTCTGAAAACATCTGAGCACTTTTGCAAACATGTTCTATGTTGACAACCTGACCAGACATACGTCGCGACATTCGCGGCTAAAACACTGTTAAAAGTGTAGCTGGTGACAGAAAAACGGGGTATTTTAAAACTACACCACCACCATTGCTGCCTGTGATTTGATCTGCATTCTGGGATACCTGGCTGCCCCAAGTCTACACAAGCAATCGATTATCTAGGATCGACCTGTTTTGACTTACTTTGCACGGCAACCAATCAAATGTTAGAGAAGCTGCATGGGCAGCGTTAACCCCGCCCCTGAGTTTGATGGGTGAGGCTGACAGATAAAATTATTTCATGATGAGAGCCAGGCGCCATGACTGCCAAAATGAAATAAATAAATATATCATTAAATAATTAATTAAATGTGTCAATAATTAATTAAATGTGTCAATAATTAATTAAAATGTGAAATATATAATTAATTAATTAAATGTGTCAATAATTAATTAATTAAATGTGTCAATAATTAATTAAAATGTGAAATACATAAATAATTAATTAAATGTGTCAATAATTAATTAATTACATGTGTCATAACTATTTATTTAATTAATTCCAATTTTAATTAATTATTGCCACATTTAATTAATTATTTAATGGTGTATTTAATTAATTCATTATGGCAGTCCTGGCGTTCCATACCTTAGGGGTTGGTCGAACAGATGTGTGGTCGACTTGCTTTTCAGGAGCCGCTACCAACAAAACACCAAATAAACACCAAATACTTCATCTGTGATATTTGTGAGGTTACCTCAATCTTGTTGCTCATGATGAACAACTAAATGTTTAAAAATGTCGCGAGTGTACCTGGTGATATTCTCATGCAGGAGGCGATCGTGAAAACGGCAAACAATTAACACCACGCCGATGCTGTTCACAGGGCAGCAAGAGCAAACGATCGGGAGAATCTTGTCGTCGTTATCGTTCCCCTCGTACGTGTTATTGCTCCGATTTCAGTGTTTTCGCTTCACAACTAAAGCGTGCAGTTTACTTTGTGTTTACTCAAATGGAGTCGAGTCAACTAGCTCCACCTGTGGCCGAGCGCCACAGCCTACAGCCAGATTAACTTGTGACACATCTGCACCTGGCTCTATCGCCACGTTTGAATTCGTTTCATGCACAATACATTTGGAACTTTCTATTTTGTCTGTTTGCATGTCTTGCAAATAAACCTTTAAAATAAATGAAATGGCATTATGTATTTATTTGTGGCCTACATCAGTAAGAAATGCACAATTATATACACAAAGTTATAGAAATCACCACTCCCGTTGTTCATGATGATTTCAATATTTCTTCCCATAACGAAGAATACGTCTTGAACAAATATATAACACATTCATATTTCACTGGTGTTGTAACATCACATCCTGTAAGCATAGTCTGCCTGTGTCTTTTCTCTGGAAATGAACATTTTCAGCCAGTATAGGTAAAACAACAACATGGCTGGAGAGAGTTTGTATGAGTTGTATAATTGTGGTTAATCTATAAACATTTGTAAGGAGATGGCAGTTACCGTGAATTTACAGCTGTTACACAGTGATTAGTAATAAACAGAGCCAGTGAGAGTGATTGGATTTAAGAAAGTGAGTGACTCAGGTGTGTCAGTTGGTTTGTCATCTGTTTTTGAGTGTGGGGGAGAGCTAGAAATGTTTACTTTTAATGCTAAGCAAGGAATATTCATGATTTATTTCCAAAACTTGCATATGATCTGCAATTTGTAGCAGATCTACTGACTATCACATAGCAGCTGGAGCAGTCTCAAATGGAGGCCAGACTACAAATGTTGTGCATGCTAAATAAACAGAAACAAATGATCCCTGTTGTCTTTACTTAATGATTGGTTTTAGTCCTGACAATCCACATTGCTGTCATTGCATCTTTCAACATGTTTGTGGGTCGATTTTAAGTGTAGCCACTCAGCTTCTTCTGCAGATATGTCACAAGTTAATCTAGTAGTAGCACTTGGCCACAGGTGGCAGTAGTGGACTGACCTCCATTTGAGTTCATCTTTCTAAAGCAGATGATTGTAAGCTTCTGGCAGGCAAACAGACGAAGTTTGCTGACTGAAAAAGAATAAACAACTAAATAAGTTAATTAGAAGCAGCAGGCTGATGTATCTTATTGTGTGTATCTGTTCTTGTGTGATAAGAAAGTTTTCAGGGGAAAGCAAACAAAAAAAACCCACTTTAATTTTCATGGGTTGATTGATAAAAGATTGTTTGAGTTAAAATACCTTTAAAAACACATGTTGTCGAGCTTGTTTTGCAGAACGAATTTCTGCCTCTGGTCTGCACTTGTGCGAAGCACCGATGCAGGCCGCCATAGCGCCAGACTACACATTAAGCTGTGGCCTAAATAGTTTTACTCACATGCAGAAGTGGACAAATTGCCGCAGGGTTTCCCTTGAACGGCAAATTGGTGAAGGAATCCAGCGTGTACACTGGTATCTCCATTGTAGGTAAGCGAAGGAAGACGAAAATGGCTTAAAAGTCAAGAGCCTCCTTCTTCAGCTCCGTTTTTGGTGGACAAAGTCCGCACCCACTGCTTTTTTTTTTTTTAACAAGAACTTTATTAATCAATCAGTGAGTACAACATACAAACAGATGAGGTATACAAGAGAGTAGAACATGAATACAAATAACCAGGAGTACAAAATAATGCAGTTTCACGTGCAATGTTTCCACTGTAAACCCGAATGTTCAAAGTAATTAAACAGATTAAGTAGTGTATACTCAAAGTCTTTAAAAAGTTCTGTTAACTTAAATATGTCAAGTTCGTATAACATGTTCTTCTTTTTGAGTAAATGAAACTAATAATATTTGATTGAATTTAACTATTTCTATATTAAGTAAGCATCACTTAAAATCATAACTTAAGCACAACGTAACACAGTTAAGTTAGAACATATAAGAATGGTAAAGTCCTGTTATTTTTGTTGTTTCAAGTAGGATTTAATAATAAACTTAATTTATGTAGCACATGCTAAAATACAATAAAATCTCAAAGTGTTTCACCAAATAAGTAAAATCAAATTGTCTTAAATGCATTAGTGAAAGACAAAATGTATTTATTTTAATATTCATTGTCAAAGGAGCTTGCAAAGAAAAGCGTCTGGACTTCTTTAAGTTCCTTTGACTACGATGACCTGGATGACTGAGAACCTTCACAGACATTTAATATTCATTGTTTTATCAATGTGTCCTACATATATATTTTTAATTTTTTCCGTAAGTGTTGAGCAGCTGCAGGAATCAATTTTTATTCCGAGTTAATCTCTGATTCACCCTCCGAAGCGGAAGGCGGCGCTAATGAGCATTAATACGAAACACAGAAGAAGTGAAGGTATATGGGCGGGAACAGCACCAAAGAGGCAACACAGACGACTGGAGAAAGTTGGACCTAACGGCAGCAACTAGCATCACTGGACTTACAGTAAGTTTTCAATGTTGATATTAGTTTATTGTTAAAATACGAATATTTAGTTGTATTTTGGGTGCGTGTCAAAAAGAATAGCAGAAATGTCGGTCCGTGTTTTTTATGTGCTTTGCTGCTCTCCCTGAATGAAACTTTGCGCTTGCAGAGCTAGCATTAAGTTGTTGTAATGAGGGTCGCAGGCTGTTTAAAAAGTTAGATACTACTTGTTCTAGAGGTGGCGCCCGGTCGCCTAGTATGAAACAAAGTATTTTAATCTCTCTAAATTTTTAACAGCAGACAGCAGATGCCCTGGCTGAAATTCTAAGAATTCACAATGAACAGGTAATAATAGATTGTTACACATTTTCATAGGTTGAACCAGTGGAACATTGGACAGGTTCAATGATTTAAATGAGCTTTTTGAATTTTGCTATTACTCCACTTTGTGTTTGCTATTTGTCTGACTGTATTAAAGATGTGAACAGGTTATTTGTGGACATATGTTCTGATTTGACTGTTGTTTTTGTTGTTGTTCAGTAAACTCACCAGTATATACAATTCTGTTTTTATCTGGAAATAGGAAATCCATGATATCCACACCAAGCGCACTACCGTTCTCCACGCCCTTCCTGTCTATCTGCGTGAGGATGTCTCTGGATTTTTCAGAACCTGCACTGTGAGTGTCCTTAAGTATCTAACAGATACTACTGTGTATATAAACAGTGCATCAAAGTACAAACATGTATTTTGATGCACTGTTTGGACTTACCTTTGTTTAGTCTACCCATATGGTTTCCATGTATGGTCTTTTCTGTCTCCTCACTACGAATGAACTGAATTGGTGTTTTGTTGAAAGTGATAAGATGTTTAGTAAAACATTTTCCTGTGTATTTCCTTTAGCTTAGTTTCAGTCTATCTCACACCACTTGATTCTCTGGTGAATTAGCTGATTTATGTGTGCAGAACATGGATCTTCTGTTTTTCACCTCTTACAGTGAGACTCAGGTCTCCCTTGTAAAAGAGGTATTGGATCTCAGTGGGAGTTGGTAAAATGAGAAATTATATGTCGTCTGTTGTATTTCTTGGTTTAGATTGTGATTAGTATCTCTTTTTCATTAATTCAGGACGAATCTGATGAGTTGCAGCTTGATGGTGTTGAAGTGGCCCTCTTCACTGTCATCAGTGACCATGACACAACAAGTCCAGTTCACTACCAACCTGTGAAAATCTCTGTCGTCATTGAAAGTGATGCCGTGTTCAGTCTCCCCAGATTTGGTGAAGCCTTCCTGGTAATGTTTGGACTGATCTATGCACTTCACCTCAGCTACCCCAAAGGCCTGACCAACACTTTAGAATTTACTCAAAAGATTTTATTTGGTCTAGAAAGTGGTAAACTGTCACCCAGGTTACAGACCCTCAAGAATGACTTGGTTATGTAGGAACTCATCTGAAAGAAGGATGCAGGGTGAAGCATTATAAAAGACTGGTTCAAAGTTCTCTCCTTTCATCTAAATAATGCCTCAAAACATTCCTGCATTACTCTACAGGTGTTCAGCCAATAGGTCCAAACTATACAACGTGCCTTTGTTCTCATTAACATAATGCAAAGCAACACTAATGTTTTGTATGTTTTAATGTTTTTCGTAATACTATTTCCAAAACATTGTGGGCTGCGCAAGATGACCTAAATTTCACTGGTTAATGTAAAACAAATAGCATTGTAATTCACTCAAATTGCTGCCTTGTTGTCTTATTCAGATATTAGCCAGAGAGCCAAAAGCACATTTTGATATTATTATTTGGCATTATGTTTCATTACTCTGACAGTTTTCCTGACTAAACAATTTTTGGTCTACTTATTTTAATTTATAAATGTTTTTGTTAATTATTTTTAATTTATTTAAATTTTTTTTTTTTAAATGTATTTAATTTCAACATAGTGCTAAAAGGGAGCAGTCAAGATACTGTTCAATGGCAGATGTTTATGACTTTTGCATATTAAGTTACCGATACTCAGTGTAATTGAGGCAATCAATTGCCTCAAAAATTTTAAGTTTTGGGTCACATGTTTTTAAGTATCAAGTAGTCAACATATTTGACTAACGTGTACTTAAAATAATGACAACACAAACTAATAAACATTTGAGTTTTGTTAACATAAAAATGTTGTAGTTGTGTACTTATTTTTTATAAGTTCTGTGAACTTATTTCTTTGAATTTGTAAACTTGAAACTTTAAGTCATATTAACTGCAAATATTTGAGTTGACCGTTCTCAAAAGATACAAGTACCATGTAATCCAAACTTTTATGTTCTGGAAAAATTTGACTTTTGAGTTGATCAACTCAAAAAAATTGAGGCAATCGATTGCCTCAATTTTTTTGAGTTCTGGTAACTTATTCGGGTTTACAGTGTCCAATAGATCAGACAGTAGCAGCAAAGGCTATCATACAGTTGTCCTGCAGCTGCTTACCAGAGAAAAGATGAGTTTGATGATTGTGAGATAATTTCACGCAGAGATGGAGAAAGATGTAAGAAAGACATGACAGGAGGAAGAAGAGCGCTTATCTTTTTAAAAGGAGCGCTCAGTGACATTTGATGAACTGGAAGTTTAAAGCTAGCGCACCTTCATTCAAGACCTACTGTTACTTGTATTCTTTGAGTACATTTCAGAGCCTGTAGTTTTACACTTTTGCCGAGTAAAGAAGTCAAATCAGTCCTTGCCAGAGTAATTCTTATCTGCACTTTTGCTCAAATAACAAGTGTGTGTAAATTTTACCACCGCTGCAGTCAGGTGGCGCCACTAGCGGGTTTTGATATGGGTGACATGGGCGGTTGCCCGGGGTGGCATCGTGGTAGGGGGCGGCATCACGGGCATCAGCAAAAAAAAGTTGCTCGTACTCATGCTGCCTCGACATCACACCAGTGCATTTTGGGGATGGCATAGGCACCGATCGGTGTTCTTGCGGCCATTTGCGGGGAGTAAGGGCGCCCTCCGTTTGCGAGCTGCGCTTGCTGCTTGCGGCACAGGGAGGAGAGGGCGTGGCGGCGGGGGATTTCAAATCACTTTTATTGTCACATCACATGTGCAGATACACTGGTACAGTACATGTGAGTGAAATTCTTGTGTGCGAGCTTCACAAGCAACAGAGGTGTGCAAAATACAATAACATAAGAACAAGCAAAATATAAGAATGGCTTGCAGAATCTTTTCAGTCTCCTGAGAAAGAAGAGGAGCTGCTGCGCCTTCTTCACTGTGTGTACTGACCACGTAAGATCCTCAGCCAGATGTACACCAAGGAACCGGAAGCTGCTCACTTTCTCCACAGCAGCGCCGTTGATGGTGATGGGGGTGTGTACTTCTCTGCACCTCCGGAAGTCCACTATCAGCTCCTTTGTCTTTGCGACTTTGAGGGTGAGATGGTTGTCTCGACACCAGTGGGTCAGGGCGCTGACCTCCTCCCTGTAAGCCGTCTCATCACCTTTGGTGATAAGACCCACCACTGTAGTGTCATCCGCAAACTTCCCAATGATGTTGGAGTTGCTAATGGCCGTGCAGTCGTAGGTGTAGAGTGAGTAGAGTGGGGTGGCTCAGGTGGTAGAGCAGATCAGCTACTGATCGGAAGGTTGGTGGTTCGATCCTTGGCTTCCTCAGTCTGCATGCCAAATATCCTTGGGCAAGATACTAACCCAGAGTTGCCCTCCGATGCGTTCATCGGAGTATGAATCTGTATGAATGTAGTTTAGGTTGCACTTGAGTTGTATGAGTGGGGGTGAATGAGGCATGTTGTATAGAGTGCTTTGAGTACTCCGGGAGAGTAGAAAAGCGCTATATAAGAATCAGTCCGTTTACCAGTACAGGACAGGGCTCAGTACACACCCCTGTGGAGCACCAGTGTGGATGAGGTAATGCTGCCCAGTCTGACCACTTAGCTTCCTGTCTGTCAGACAGGAAGTTAAGGATCCAGCTGCAGAGGGAGCTGCTTAGTCCTAGATCCTGCAGTTTCCTGTCCAGCTTCGAGGGAACGATGGTATTGAATGCTGAGCTGTAATCTACAAACAGCATTCTCACATACGTGTCTCTCTTCTCCAGGTGTGAGAGGGCAGTATGTAGTG